TGCATGCTCCATAACATCCAACATATATATATATATATAAGATTTTTTTCAGCTTTAATCCTTCTTATGCCAGATAATTTTTACTGGAGCTTCACTGAGCATGCTCCTGATAGGCCCTTGTGCACTTTTGGTCATGAAGTTTAACCTGTGTTGTCTGCTTTGTATCAAATCACAACAATCTTATAGAGCCTGCAGCATCTCAAGTGTTGCATCAGTTTATGTAAAATATTGTAAAGTCGTAACTGTGCTTCACATTCAGTTCCAAAATGTTCATATTTACATGCAAAGCATCAAATACGAGCAAGTAAACGTCATTAAAAATGCCCACATCCGCCATGATTTAAATAATAATGGCTTGCCTCTCGTCTTGTCTGCACCTCTGTATTTACTGACATCTTTGACTTTTTTTCCAGACTTCTGCGTAATAACACAAGATTCTAGCTTTCCACAGGGCACACAAGCGTTTTAAGCATTTAAAGACGTTTATCCTTGTAATTTCGTTCGTTTTTTATGGCAAAAATATTCACGCCGTTTTTAGATTTGTAATTTTTGAAGCTGGTTCTCATTTGTTACATAATCATGCATCATTTTACATTTCCATGTGATTTTTTTTGCTTCTTTATTTGCTGTAGATTTTATTAAGTAACCTTTTTGTTATTCATTTCTTCAGGGGTTGTCACATGGAGTGAACTAAATATGGTAATTATTTTACGCTGGGTGGTCTACTTGATGCAATCGAACCGGTAGCTTCTTTAGTCTAAAATATTTAAAATGCTTAAATATCTATATCTTCTTTATTTTCCTGAACTTCTGTTAAAATAGATCAAGAAAATATGTTTAAAAAAATAAAGAAACAAAACACAAGTTGAACACTGAGAGCTGAACGGCTGCTTGATGAAGATGCTGAAACTTAAATGTTAAAGCTAAAAGAAGCACAACACTAAAACCTAAATTAGGAAAACACTATCTGAAAGCTAAATGTTGCAAAGGCTAAAGCTAAAAGTAGGTCATTTTTAGATAGAACCTAAAAGTAGCAAGTGGTTAGTTAAAAGCTAAGAGGGTTAAACACTAGCTGAAACCTGCAAAATCTTAGCTAAAATTAGCTAAAGGTGAGCTAAAAATGAAATGTAGTAAACAGCCAGCTAAAAGCTAAGAGTAGCTAATTTCTAGATAGAACCTAAAAGTAGCAAAAGGAGTAAACACAAGTTAAAAGCAGCAAAGTGTTAACTAAAATTGGCAAAAGGATAGATATGTAGCAAAAAGGAAGCTAAAACCTAAAAGTATCTAATTTTTAGCTAGAACCAAAAAGTAGCAAGAGGCTAGTTAAAAGCTAAAAAGAGTAAACACTAGCTAAAAGCAGGAAAGTGTTAGCTAAAAGTTGGAAAAAGAGTAGCTTGAAATCAAGGGTAGCAAAAGGCTAGCTAAAACGAAAAGTATCTAACTAAGGAATTGTATTTGTGTTCTTTTGGGGCCAATATTTAAAAGATAAATAATTATGAAAAGTAACAAAGTTGCATGCTAAAGTATTTGGATGCAAAACCCACATGGAAAATTAAAAATCAGGAAATGGGCAGTGTGAATCCTGAGTCAGCGTTAGATTTTGTGGGTCAAAATGTCAGCCATGAACATCARCGGGAGAAACGAGGCGAGTTCTGATGTATGAGTTATTATCGCAGGTTCAGGTTTGTGGAACTGACTACATGAAGGCTGCGGTCCGTGTGAAGCGTCAGCTTTTGTTCACACTGCTGTTCTTGGGTTTCTGTTTCGACTCCATGGACTGAACCTGTTTATTATGTTTTCATCCTCCTCCAACACTCCCACGCCTCTCTGCTCGGTACTCTGTCTGTGTGAATGAGACTCAGTTTTTCCTGCAGTCAACAGATGGCACACGAGACAGTTTTTTTCTTTCTTTCAGGAGGGCTCACACTGCAGCACTTTGACCTTGAAATGGTCCTGGCGCCTATACTTTCTGGCATATCTTATCTCTCTTGTCCTTTCCTGTCCTTTGCTTTGATTTCCTGCTGCTACGTGTGCTCGATCTGATTTACCCCACAAAGAGTCACCGTTTAKCAGCCCTGCAACACAGCAGGCTCTTACATTTCACTCACCTTCAGTTGATTGCGGAGAAGTGAATGTCAGCTCAAACTCAGAGATCAATAAGTGCAGCTCTGTTGGAGTCTTTCACTCAGTTGTCTCAGCGCAGAACTGAGCATCAATAACCTAATGGAGGTTACTGAAAGTGGAGTGTATGTGGAAAGCAAACGACGAGGGAATAATTTGCGTCTGTAAAAGAACTACCATCCTCCTTCTCCTCCTCTAACCAGGTCCCTTTGTGTCTCAGACTCTCACAGAGCCCGCCATCTTTGCCAGGGAGACGAGCTGCGACTGCCGCGCGCCTCATGAGAAGCTCAACATCGCTCAGGCCCGCAGAGGAACCCCAGGTAGCCTTCCTCGGCCCACATCCTTTCATCACACAGCATTGTTGCTGCTGCTTCTTCTACAACATCTGTAACACCTCCTCTAAACATTTATTAAAGCTTGTAACGCCCTTTYATATGGGATAAATCTTGTGCCAGTAGCAATTGAATTTGAATTGCTCAGATTGAATCTGATTGTGCATAATTTGAAATTGAACGCATTGGTTTGAAAATAAATTTCACTAATTTGAAACTGAATTTAATGGCTTGAAACTGAATTTAAAGTTCTGAATTTGAATTATTTTGCTTTGAAACTGTATTTTGAGTTATTAAAATTTCAGTTCGACTACTTTCACTTTCATTTCCAAAATTCAAATTTTTGTGTCACACATCCTGGTCCTTGAGGAAGTCAGCCAGAGTAATCA